AAACAGGATGTCTGTAAGCATTTACACTTATACCAACACTAAATCCCAACCACCAAGTAAGATAACTAGCAAGTTTATTGTATATGATATAACTTTATACTTTGTACAGAGCCATATCATAAACTTTTTCTCTCACTTTTATAAAGAACTTTTGACAATTCTTGTTGCTACCACTGTATTGTGAAGAAGCTGACAAATTCTGTTCCACTGTGTTCTCAGAGCAGCGATCCGAATAGTTTCTGTAGGATAGCTGTGCTTTTTGATGTATTGGATCGGCCCAGACTTTCTACAAAGTCATAAACATTATATAATACTTCAGACAGTTGTTGTTGTAACCATTATACTGTCAACAAGTTGATATATCCTATCCCACTGTGTTTTCAAAGGAGGGAAAAATGAACGTATTTAATATTGATGGTGTAAAAGTATGGTAACACCTAAACAAAAACAGTGATTCATTGGTTTATATTTGACAAGTTTCTACTTCAGCTGCTAACAGTAGAATAACAGTAGGAAATAGGAGTAAAAAGATTAGAAGAAACTCTCTGGAGATTTACTTGGAACTTTACTGTCTTCAAAATGAATAGTACTCTGTTCTTTTCAGTACGGACAGTAAAGTTCCAAGTAAATCTCCTGAGAGTTTTTTCTAATCTTTTTACTCCTATTTCCTACTGTTATTCTACTGTTAGCAGCTGTAGTTATTTTATTGCTAGTAGATGAGTTAGAAATTAGAAGTAAAAACATTTTTATTTTCTGTAAAGCTTTATATCTTATTTGTTATTTTTTATACAGTAACATTATACTTGTTTCTCCAGGTTGTAGGTAAGTAATCAAAGTATAACGGAAATAAAGGTTACAAAATAAAATGTACAGTATTGTTAGTAGTGATTACAAAATTTCAAAGTACTTATGATCAAAGTTTACGCTCTCACTTTTTCACACTTATTTTCTGTAGGTATTTTATTGCTAGTAGATGAGTTAGAAATTAGAAGTAACAAAATGAATAGTACTTTGTTCTTTTCAGTACGATATTTAATTACAAGGTTTGTATTTTTCATTTGTTTTAACTGTTTATTATTATAAAAGTAACTAAAATCATAAAAATAGAATGTTGTTTGGTAAGATAATGAAAGAAAAATAATAAACCTTGAAATCAAAATTACTTTGTATGTGGATAGTCAACATTATGAAAGAAAAAATTCACAAACAAATCTTTAATAAAAAAAATCTTAAACATAATTAAAAAACTAGATATTTTGTGTATGAAATCCTTGTAATGTTTACAATCTGCAACATTTTGTAAAGAATTGAGTACATTTTCAAAAATTATAGTACAATTACTCTCATACATACATTCCTGGTTACAAGATGGGTGGAATTCACCCAGCCCATAATGGAAGGGTTACTTAATATGTTGAGTATTTGTTTTGAATAGTCGGTGTGCAAAGTAACTTTCATCTTAAAATTAAAAATACTCATCTCAAAAATCTCCAATTTCCTTTGTGTAATCCTCAAAACCTCCTAAATGCATTTCAGACGTTTCTTTTTTGTTTTTTTGGTAAAACTTTATAATTTATCTGTTATTTTCTCTACCCTATCTCAAAACAGGATCAGTCAATTCAACCAACCTTGTAACCACCAAAAAAAAACATTGAAATAAACCTAAATTACCCCTTATTTTCTTTCTAGAATGACTTCAAATTGTAACATGAAACTACAGTGGTTTATCCTAAGTAGCTCTAAGTTTGTAACAGTATACATCTATTTATAATTAAATTTTATTGTTTAATTGCCCTATGAACCATGTCTAACTACTATCCTTGCCATTATAAGTTGTAAATCACTCGGGGGAACGTGCAGCTCATGTTACACTATCAAATGACATTATCCACAAACTGTTCTCGTGCGTGCCTCATGAACCATTTTAATTATATTATTATTATTACTTATTTTACCTAATATAATCTTAAATACCGCATTTTTTTAATTCAGTTACTTTATAATAATAAATAAAGAATACATATAAAAAAAACAAGAAATAAAGTACTTACCAAATCTTCTTTATTTTTGCCCTCGACTGTCGAGGACAGTTAAGCCTGATTTCTTATACTATAGATAACAATGCACTTAATAATTTTTATTTAAATAAATAATGCACCAAAGAATATAGAATAACATGCAAAAAGTAGAGAAATTCACTTACCTTTCAAAATTTTCTGGCTTTCTAACTATGTGATAAAAGCACTTACAAATTGATCCAAGATACTCATTAACTTTCTCTTGGGAATGAATCTTGTAATGTGAGTAAAGTTGACAATATTCTGTTCAGAATACAATGTTATACATTATGCCATTTGATAGATGAAAACCTTGAATTTCTATTGGTTATAGGCAATATATAATGAAACTTAAGAGAGAGAACTATCAATGAATTGTGAAAGAGAGGATGTGGCAGGAGGGGTCTGATTTTCTATTTGATAGCTCTGTAACCAAACAAAATTGAAGGTTATAAAAATTATGGTTTGTTTGAGCAATAACAATTTTACAGAGAGTATTTTATGTTTAATTTTGTACATTTTCAAAGGGTGGTGGATAAAATAGGGATGATGACATGCTAAGAGAAAATGGGTCACACTAGTGGATATTCAGGATTTTTTAAAATATTTCCTTGTAGAATTAAGAACTTAAAACTTGTATACTATTAAAATGTGGATTATTAACTAAGATTTTATGCTATTCTAATTGGTATAACATAAACAAAAAGTAGTTTAATAAAATTTTGAATGTAAGAAACTAAAACCTTGCGTCATGTGCAGTTAAAGATACTCAGGGCAATAGGGGTAAAATGATCTAGCGTGTTATCCATTATCCATAGGGCTAAGACTATTTTTTGATAGCAAGGTATCTCAAAAGAAAAAGATCTGCATCAGAATATCTAGAGTTACTATGAAAAGTTACAATTTGAGACTATCTGTCTATACAGTTGTCAGTTGTTGCCTTTACTGCTTGGTCAATCTCTCTACAGGTATGAGAACTATCTGCAGATATGTTACTGTGTGTGTCCTTGAACTGTCTTTTTTTTCTTTTAATACAGACCTTTCATTTACTTCTCCAGGATCAATCATTTTATCTGAATGCCTCTGGTCTTTATCTTAATGGTTCCATTTTACTTCTTACCTACATAAATCTCCAGATTATAAGGGGAGACACTACTGTCAAATATGGAATAGGGTAAATGATCCATTAACAACAGTGGCCACATTACAAAGAAAAAAGTTTCACAATAATTTAGTGGATGAGGATAAAGCAAGAATAATCAATGGATAAGTAATAAATTTTTATGAAGTTGGCTGGAGAAGTCATACTCAAGGAAGTTTATCATAACAAGAGGATATCCCAGGGAAGACCTTGTGTATAACCTACAACAGGCTCATACAGATCTAGACGGTTTCAATGTTTAGAGGATGACACCAAGAATTCATAGAAACACCTAGATAAACTAATGTTGAAAAAGAAAAAAATAACTTGTTATGGACATGAGAGTAATGGATTCAAACTAGATTACCCAATTGCCATCAAAATTGGCACTTTTTATGACATACATTTCAGCATGACTGTAAATAAACTTGAGAGCTGCAACTGGAAGATAGCAAAGAAAGAAACGAGACAATAAAAAGTGAAACTTGTATCTGAAGTATTAGATGGAAACTTGATTTTGGTGGTGGACAAATTTATAATACATGTAGTGTAACAGTAACAAATCTTGCTGCTGAATTCAAAGTTATATTTTAAAATTTAATATTGGTTACTTACTAGTTACACCCGTGGATATTATTTGTTGGAATGAACGAGGAAAATGAAGAAAAATGTACGTCGGGTATTAATATGACTGTTGTTGTTAAGAGTGAGCGTATGATATTGTGTTGCTACTTGTATGGTGTACATTTTTGTGTAATTAAAGCATTAATAAGTACATAAAGTATATAGTATATAATGCAGAGTTTGAGTAGTAACTGCAGTCTAATTTGGAAGATACCATGCTGACACCTGGTGAAAAAATCAGCGAAGAGTCTGAAATATTGTCTCCAAAATTAAGAAAGAAGGTAGTAGTAGTCTACATAAAACTGTTCATAATGTCAGCACACTGCCTAGAACGTTCTTTCACAGAAATAACTACATTATCAAGAACAGATACAATTGCACTGATTTTGGTGTTTCATGTAAAAATGGTTCTTACTGTCCATTCTGTTTCAGTTTCTCTGCTTTTCGGTGTTTTGGTTAGTATTGACACAGTAGTTGAACACCATGTCAAGAAAGTGTACTGAAAATGTTAATTAGCTGTATAAAGAACAGTACAAGTCATGGCTGAAGGATAGTAGCACTGCAAGAAATTCCACATACTTGTGTGCAGTACGAGAATCGGCTTTGAGTGGTCACATGGAAGGCAAAAAAAACTGACTAAAATATAATGTAGAGCGTTGAAACTTCTTTACAGCATAAAAGATGCATCTTTGTCTGTAATAAATCCTTTAAACTGTTACTGTTACCCATTCTTTATTCCTGAGAATCCTTGATTTTTATGTTGCAAAAAAGGGAATGAACCACAGAACTCGTTCCTTGCAGTATCAAACTGTGTTCTTACATGAGTATAGTATTTCTCCTGTATGTATTTATATTCACACATGCAACAAAAGGTTTTTGATTTTAAATAGAACTTGTCTATACGATTCCTTTCTTCATGTGTGTACATGAAATATTATATATAATTTTCCTTGGGATTTTAAACTACTTTGTGGCATGTTTTAATTTGCTTGATTTTCAGTTGCATCATGTGTTTTAGGCTGAAAAACTTTCTTAAAAAGACTTAATTCTTTAAAAGGTATAGTAATTTTAAGTACCTTTGATATTGATGTGTTTTTGTGCTTTTTATTTGTTTTCAAAAGGATGATGATGAATTTTCACGTCGGGGACGCCAGAAGCATGTTGTTGACATTGAAATAAACTTCAGTGACTCCCGCAGGGGTCGAGGACGTGGACGAGGAGGTATGCGTGGAAGTGGTATAAGAGGTGGACGTGGAGGGGTTGGTGGAGGAGGTGGGCGTGGAGTGGTTGGTGGAGGTGGTGGACGTGGGAACTACAAGGCTCCCAAATCATCCCGACCAGCTGCCCCCAAGGTGGATGATTTGGAGGCTTTTCCCTCCCTTGCTGCAGCTTGAACTTTTGCAGTTTCAGAACTCCATTTTTCTGAGCATTATTGGTCTATTGTTTCATCAGAAGGTCAAAAGTGTGGGTGAATACGCTTCCTATTTCATTGTCGGACTTTGGCCTTTTGCGTAGATTAAAATAGTGGGAAGCATTCGAGTCAGGATGTATGGAAAACAGAGGAATTGTGCTACTGTTATGTTTAGGACCTTTTTTTGTTATATTAAACAAACATGCAGTCTGTTGTTAATATTGTGAAATCAAGTTTCCTAATGCCTTAAATTTTACCTTCAGTCAGCTTCAATAGCTGACATACTAGGTGATTATTAGGCCTGTAAACCCCTGAACCCATTAATAAAAGAAAAAGTTCTCAGAATTTGTTTTTGTTGGTGCTCATTTATGGGCAGACTTTTTTTTAAAAAAAAACCTGTGGCTAACTGTATATTGTTTGGTTGTGAGTTTCAAATGGTTACTTACTAAATTCTAATTCTTTGTGTTAAATAACAGTAATAATAGGTATTATTTAATTAATACAGATCATTACTCGTAATATCACTTGTTGGTTGAATCATTAAAAGTAAAAACACGTAAAGAGTGGGTAATGAAACTCGTTAAACCCAGTAAAACGTGACAAGAGTGAACAGTTATGTAAGTTTTAAACTATTTAAATAGTTAAGGAAACTCTGTACCCAAAAACAAACAAAAAGTACCAATTGAACAAGTTAAATGCATAATTTGAAAGGTAACTATCTTTAATGCTAAAGTTTCAGTTAATAGTTACAATTGTAAACTTCCTGGTAGGATTTGAAGATTTTCTGTTGATAAACTGGTCCAGATCTAGGTGTTTTTTGTTGTTGTTTTTTGTAAGTGCATTCTATTTTCTCAACTTTGCACATTTGTACACTAAGTACTATTTTGCTTTTTTCATTTAGTTAGAAAATTACAATGAAATTCTTGCACAATTAGTAATTGTTAAGTGACTAACATTAACATCAGTTTAAAATTGTGTAAAATGTATCTTTCAATTTCTAAATAAAACTGAAGGTGTGATTGTACAACAATTATTAGTTTTATTTCAATTTGTTACACATTAAAAATGGATTACAATCACATAAGTAAACTTTTTTTTTCTCCAAGATGTATCAGAACCTACAAACTTGCAAAACTACTATTCCAAAGGCCCGGCATGGCCAGGTGGTTAAGGCACTCGACTCGCAATCTGAGGGTCGCGGGTTCGAATCCCCGTCACACCAAACATGTTCGCCCTTTCAGCCGTGGGGGCGTTATAATGTGACAGTTAATCCCACTATTTGTTGGTAAAAGAGTAGCCCAAGAGTTGGTGGTGATGACTAGCTGCCTTCCCTCTAGTCTTGCACTGCTAAATTAGGAACGGCTAGCGCAGATAGCCCTCGTGTAGCTTTGCGCGAAATTCAAAAACAAACACAACAAACTATTCCAAAATTTAAAAGAAATGTAATGAAGATGACGAAGGTATTGGTGATCACATTAAGTTGAAGTTGTGTGTAATGGTCTTAAAGAATTGATGGACTGTCAATCTATGTGGTAATTTATTTCTAGTCCTATATGTTATACAGGAAAATGTTAACTTCAAAACAGTGAAAGTGATACCAGTGTTTCTTATTACATACAAATATATCCCTCTCAGTCAAGACCAAGTTAGTCTTGTAGGTCAGTAAGAAATAATAAGTATCTTGACATTTTATTAATTATCTTTACAACTCAACATGTCAACAGCATTTTGTACATGTTATTGTATGTGACAGTTATAGAAGTCTCTACACATCTTGGCTTACAAAATAGACATTAGTTTTTAAATTCCTGGTTTGAAATGGATCACATTTTCATAGTAATTAGTGATATGTCAAAAACATTTCTAAGCCGTTACAATAACATATTTTGCACAAAAAGACTTTCCTTTTTTTTTGGAGTGAAAACTGAGTGATCATTAAATCAGTTATTTACTGATGCACATTTTGTAATAATACTAGTGTGAAGTGGGTGTTCTAAATGTAATTATCAGAAATGCAAACTTGGCACTTAAACAGATGACTACAGCAAGGTCAAGAGTTTACATGTCATTTACTAATAGTCACATGTACAGTTAGCTGTCACACTTATCAGTAATACTAATAAAAGCTGGATAATTAATATTATTATCTATGAGCCCAAATTATATAATTAATGTTACATGAAATTACTGAAATTATGATTCATTCATCTAATCATAATGTTTCTGATTGTTCCAACTATTCAAGTAATTGAATTATTGGCATTGTTATTTGATTGATTCAGAGTTGTTTAGTTTATTAGTGTCATGACTCGTGAAAATAATCAAAATTAGTTTCCAATTATTATTTTCAGTTAGTCTTATGGGAAAATAATGTAAAGTGGTTTCTTTCTGTTCCCATATCTTGGATTTTAATTGTTTTTGACAGAATATTGAATTTTTTGTTTTATAACCATTAACAAATAGTTAATATTTGATGCTACAAATCTATTTATTCATGGCCAAAATTGTGAATGTTTGATAAAGTTGTAAGAAGCCTAGTTGTGGTTTGTACAAGCTAACAAGGGAAAAAAATTCTAGGCCCAAACTGTTATTTTCAAAGACCTAATTAACTAATTTTAACAAAATGTAATTCCACCAAATAATTCCACCAAAATTAACTAATTTTTCTTATATTTTATAAAAATTTAAGTAACAGCTGTACAGAACATTCTAGCAATTACACAAGCAGCAAAATGTAAGTAAATAAAAGTACTTTTCATGCATACTTAGCATGAAGCAGAAATAAATATTCTGAAATGTGTTAAACAGTTAATTAGCATGTGGATTGGGTTTGAATAATTTTTCTGAAACTTGATATATCAAAAATGTATTAAAGCAAAAGAAGAAACAAATGTTGCAAAATTCTAAATGACTGGACATTAGTCAACAAACCACTGAAACTTAATTGTTTGTTACTAACTGCTCCCCAAATCAATTCTATAACAAATGATAAAACTTTCTCCCAAATAGTGTGCTTTGGCTAGAAATACAAACTCTTGTAACTAAAACAAAATATCATTTATTGGATATATTATTTCAAGTTGTATCTAGTTGGCTGTTTAACATACATCATGACAAGTCACCATGTCTATCACACACTGTTAGTAAGATCATTCTTATGTTGTGCCCATTCACAATGTTGTACATCTTGTGGTTTTCCCACCTAATTTTGTAACGTTTACCTCGGTTTTTTGATGCAGTCCACGTGAATTAGAAACCTTGTGGATCAATCAAACTTAGTGTTCAGATAAGCTTTCTTTTATGAAAACTGGTGTCCACATTTAAAACTAATTGTTCTGAATAATTTTGTTGTCGCATGCAACAGTCATCACAAAATATGGTGATTAAAGTAAAATCATGAATTAGGTTTTAAAGTTTTATTATAGGCCCAACATAAAGGACTAAGATAACAGAAACAGTATTTATAATATACATCATAATACTGTATAAGCTGACTGGCTCTGTTTAGTGGCCAACATTTGACTATTTCATGCATGTGACTGTCATTATTTTATAATTTGGGCACTTGGTATTGTATTTCTCTTTTTTTTCAAGTAATGAATTTTGGGTAAAATAACTGATAACAAACTTAGCTAATATTATTAATTGTTCTTGAAATGTTTCTACTTAAGATTGAATTAGATAAACTTCAAAACGTTCATGTTCTTTATCCTACTAACATTTTTATTTTACATTGACAGTATTATTACATCCACAGTCTCCTGATCACTGTTAAACACTGGTACAGCTTGTCGTCAGTTCTTACACACATCACTTTAGAGGTTAAGGAGAACAAGGTCTGGCCCCTAGTGGCAAACTATGCATGTGATACTTGACAAATAAACTAGTAGTATAAAATAAATGTTGCTTATTCTTCATATGCCTAATACCTAAACGTCCAGTTGTGTGTGGAGTGTATACGACAGTTCAAAAATGAACGAGAAACTTGGTTTTGAAGTGCCCGTCACAAGAAAAAAAAACTTTATTTATCACAGGACAAGAAACTGCTGTGATGTTAGCCACTATTTTCTTTGGGCATGGAATAAGTTTCAAGGGATGATTTTACTGTGATGCAATTTCAACTTTTTGCTTGAGCATCGTGAATTCTTGTTTTCATGTGTGCAATTGTACATGCACATCATTCATGACAAGGGGGGCAGTATGTTTCTGATCTACAAATAACATAAAATAGCTTCACGTAATACAAACTTTTGTTTTTCTCTAAAATATTAGATTTTTTAAAGGTCTAACTTATTATTGTTCTAATTCCTAAGGTATATATAATATATGTTGCGAAGAGTTTCAACACCTGCTTAACATATCACAAAATAACAGTAAATTAAAAAGTGATTTCTTCCTGAACACTTAGCTTGGTAATTTTTAATCATTCTTGACATTATGTGTCAATTTGTTAATTATTATAAAAGTCAATGTTAGACTAGTTAACATTCAAGAGAACTGGTAGTCCTGTAATGTTTTGTCTTGACTCGGCTGTCTGAATATGTAACTGTCTTGAATCCAACATGCTAAGAATGGTATTTGGCTACATCTATTAGGTTGTCAAGAAATTAATGTTGCATTTTGGAACACTTTCATTGCCCCCCCCCCAAAAAAAAACGTACATCAAGTATAATAATAAACGAACCACATAAATGTTATGTTAGTGTAGCCTGTATAATGTGTAAAGTTTAGTATACTCTAATCCCTTATAGTGATGGCACATGATGAGACACACATTCAGCACGTAATGCTGTTTGAATACAAGAAGGGAAACAATGCCTCTGTAGCCACAAAGAATATCAAAGAAGTTTATGGAAATGTTTTGAATGTTCGTAAGTATCAACAATGGCTCAGCAAATTTCGATCATGTGACTTTAGCCTTAAAAACTGTGATGGCAGGGGACAACATGTTGG